TGGGGAATTCTGGGAGTTGAAGTCCACATATCTTAAAGTTGCCAAAGTTGAGAAACACTGCACTGGATCCTCTCCAATGCTGTGGTGTGGTTCAGATGCTAAGCTAGCATTTTTTAAACCTTGGGCTGTTGAACAAGGGAGCCTGGCTCATATATAATAGTAAGCGCTAATGGGGGAGTTCACATATATACTAAGCCTAGAAGAACCAAATACAGGCTAGCGTAGCTTTACATGTACTGTATGCTAAGAAAAAGTAAAGATTTTCAGTAGCAGTAAGGATTGATAGTTAACTAGAGGAACGATCTGGTTGGCTCATGTGTCTTCAAACTGCAGTTTGATCAGCAGGAATCTGCAGCTCAAGGTATCTGTCGGCCAAGCTGGACTGTAGGTCAAGTTGCCAAGGGCTGGAAGTAGAGCTGTGAAACTAAAGCTGTCAGGAGTTTCATTTGAAGTTACACATCATTTATTATGTGAACCTCAAGTGCCCAGCTCATGTCTCTCTTGCACTGTGCAGAACTGAGACATCTCTGCCTTTTCCTGTTTGTCTGCTTGTCTCTGCATAGAAAATGGGAATTGAAAGTTATTCAAATCACACTCCCAAGAATGCTAACCATGAGAACCAGCTCCTTGATTAGGTCAACAGCTCCTTGATTTACTTTTAGTATTTGTCCCAAAGTGATAGATTTATGTGGAAAACCCTTTGTTTCTTCTGCCTGACAAGTTGTTACATATTCTGAAAGGAGCATTCTTATTTGTCTGTACTACTGGGATTATCTCCAAAACTGCTAAACTGTTCCTTGATGTATTGTTTGGATGGATTCATTAGGCTGAAATGTGGCCACCTAGTATGTTGTTCAGTATGTATGTATGTTTATGTGTTCTGACATTGCACACCCATATGTAAGAGTTGGAGTTTGCATCGTGATGTTGGACACTCATTTCATCATTCTGACAAACCATCAGATTCTAAGGTGTAGAATCCCTCCCTTTCATCTACCACCACCAGGCAAAGGCTGTATTTTGCCCAAGATGTGAACCCATGTTTTGAGTTATTGAATCAATATAATTGCTGGCATTTGTGCAACATACTGAGCCATAAACTAGCCTACCACACTTTACCCTAGCCCAGCGCATTGTGTGGAGCCAGCTTGTGTGTATCAAAGGTGAAAGTTGAACTGTCATTTATGTTTGTTGTAAATAATCATAGTTGGTTACCTTTTTCAGATAATACCACTTTGGAGAGTAAGTGAATGATTTTATGTCAGAATGTATGCGGATACACACATAACTGAATGCTTGTAGCAAGACTTTGCCTTAATATTATATTTTCCAGTATCAGACATTAGGGGCTTTAACCTGGGAGTATTCCACTTTAAGATCTCCAGTCTGAAATGGCAGAATCTGAGACAAACTATGCTAAGGTATTTTAGCAAACTGGGAATATCAATTGCAGAGAAAGAATGAAGTTTGGCAAAATTATCTGGAAGTAAAACTGAGATCAGAATGTCAGTAAGGAAGAAATGTCATCCCATCACCAATAAGGAAAACTGGGGATTTCAACAAACCCTTAGCAGGGATTCAACCAACTCGACTGCAGAACAGTGAACTCTGGGGAAACCTGCAGGTGGTAAGGTTAAATAATAGGCCAGAGACAAGACCAGAAATTAAAAATGAGTTGTCCTCAACATGGCTAGAGCTGCCCCAGTATGGTTTTTAAGCAACTGTCATTTCTAGTCTCACATTTGACAGCCTTCCTCAATGTGACATTGTCAGATCCAATTAATCTAAAATTCCCATCACTCCACACTATAGACATGGTGTCAGGAATCATAGAAATTGTAGTTCAGTGAGCTCTGGAGGGTTCTGGGTATAAAAGCCCTCCCGACACGAATATGTTCCAGAATCTATTAGATTACAATTCCCATAGCCCCCTGTCTTGGAACAAAAGGGATATGTAGTCTAACACATCCAGGACATAGGAAACACAGACCTATGATAAGAAATTGTCAGAGTACCTCTTTGGCACAGTGTTCCTGCATGTCCTGTTTCACTCGGTCTTTCATCAGTTTGGAGATGTTTTCAGAGCTGTTCTTCAGAAGCGGGTGAGGGTGAGCCCATGAGGCAGCTTTGTACAATCCAGAGTTCCCCACACCTGCCAGGCTGGGAGCTGTGAACCTTGCCAAGTCATCCAGGGATACAGCAGGCCTCATGTGGTCAGCAGAATGGCCATGACCTGCCAGAGGAAGATTAGAGTCTGTTGGGTAAGGAGGCTTAAGGGAACCGTATGAGGCACTGAGAGGGGGCCGTGTGCCTCTCACTGCTCCAGAAGTGGGTAGAATCTTCCCATTATCCTCAGGAGACACCACTGTTTCCATCCCTAAGGAGCTGGAACACTGCTGTGAGGTATCTGTTTTGCATTCTTGAACAGCTGTCACAAATCGATATTCATACTCTGGCAATTGATCACTGCCAACTCCAATGGAGGTCCCTAAATTGGTAGTCTCCAGCCGTGTGGTGGAAGGTGGCTTCTCAGAAGGCGTGAAGGGGCTCAGCTCTCTGACATATTTAGCTGGGATGTAAAAAGGCCGGGAATTTTTGCTCTTCCTAACATGCCACCAATGGTCATTGGTTCGCCTTAAAAGCATATATCTCTCATTGGGTTTGATTGTGATAAGCTGGCCATCCTTGGAGGTGTATTCAAAGGCATATTCCACCAACACGTATGTCTCCTCCTCTCTGCCTGTTGACTCCATCTTTAGTGTCCCAAAGTGGCTTCCAGTGGACTATTTATTTCCCTCTGAAAGAAGAAGAAAAATATTGTCAAGCATGACTTTACACAGGCCTGTGCATACTTAATTTGAGGAGGAAAGATAGAGTTTGTTTTTGTGATAGAATTTTGCTGTCCAAATAAGTGATACACATTCACTTATTTTTACATCATTATTCTGCTCATCCTTGACGCGCTTTCCCTAACCTAATTCTCTTCAGATCTACAGTTCCCATTAATAATTTGTTCTAATGTTCAGTTGCAAGCTACACAATGCATAGTGGGATAGTTAATTTTCAGCTTCAAACAATGCCAGCATTACAGGGTGACTACACATTTGTGAAGGATCAGGTTGGCATGAACAGTTTGTTCTCTGCTGTCATTGAAACAAGAAATTGCCTTTCACTGATCTGGTTCAGAGATGAATCTGGGGGCAATTGCCAAACCACAGCTTGTTGATGCCTTCTTGTGCCTTAATGGTAAGTGTGGATGAGCATTATAATTGAATTGGCATAAGCATAATTGCAATTAATCAGTAACTAGCTGTTTGTTATTGTTCCATGAGAACTTGCTACTCCACATTGTGCTTCAGAACTAATATTGTGTTCTATGCAGACTCCCTCTCTTTCGCAATGTGATCTCAGGGTGCCTCTATCATTTTGTTTTCTGCCAGGGTTGCTTTCTTTTCCTGCCTTTTAACCAAGACATATCTTTGTGGCTGCAGATGCATAGGGCTATCTCTGCAAAATACTGCTGAGGATGATGCAGATAGTTCTGACACATTTGTGCTTTCAGGGCAAAGCATGTGGGTTCAAACCACTTCCACCATACTTGTAATGTCTACAGGCAGACAGGATAGACTGAGATGGTTCTCTCAGGCAGCAGAGGCTGAATGGGTTGTAGGTAAGGAAGTACTAGAGAAGAAATCGCTGGTTGCTCCACGGCTGCTCTATATTCCTTATGTTACTGGCCACCTCAGATGTATGTGAGTAGGGGGTCAGAGATGCCATTTTGTCCTCTTCACACAGCAAAATATTTCTGGTCTGCCCTGAAGTTGTTTTGTTTTCACCTTTAAAATAGGTGAAAGTAGCCCAATCTGTTTACTTTCTTCCCTCCTAGCATTTCAGACTTCTCCCTCCCTTGCTTAACTTGTTCTTCTGCTTGTACTTTCTACTACCAAGCTACTTCCAATGCCTAGAAGACCCTTCCCTTTTCTTGGTGTTATTCATTCATTTATTGAAGCTGTTTTGGAATAGTCTTTTAGATCTCTAGCTGGCTTGTAAAGAGATAAGAAATAAAATCCTTACAATAGAGTGTAATCTAAGACATACATTACAGTGGCAAAAATAACAAATGTCAGTAAGCAGGAGTTGGAATTCCTTCCATATAGATTTTCTGATCATCCAGCCATAATATTCTGTGGTGCTTAAAATTAATTTCTTTTGGAATCTCTTTTTCACCACCATCTGGAGCAGGGGTTTCTGACATTGGCTGGGTTGAGTCTTCCTCTATGGTCTTGCATGCCAGAATAGAACCAAGTTCCATCTGACCCAGAAGTTTGTTTTAAACTCTGGCTGACTAGATGCCAGTGGACATTCACAAGCAAGATAATGAACTCCCTTAGTTTTTCCATTTATTTTTAAAACAGAGTTTAGGATTGCAAATCTACTGTGCATTTTTAACTACAGAATCTACAGTCACCACATAGTCTTTCTTGTCATGTCCACAGTAGTAAATATGCCCTTCAATTATAGCTGTGTATCAAAAATGCCAAAGACATATTATTATATACTTTGCATTTCATGTTGATAATTGCTGTGAGTTGTTAACCTCACACCTAAATATCCTGATCATTCAGATCAGTTTTATTTAAAACATTTACTTTCAGATTCAAATGATTCTGTTTCCATAAGTGTGCCCAAATTTTGTCATTTAACATGTAAGATGTGCAGCAGTTTGATTGATCTATTTATCTTATTGGTGAATCAATATCACTTTTATGTATATAAAGTGTTTTATGGATGACTGCAATAAAAATTCTTCATTCAGGAGGAGAAACAAAATAGAAATAATAAAATATCCCAGAAAAATACTTTTCTTTTTCTTTCACTACTTTTTCCCCAACAATGTAAAACGTTGAAATAAACATTTTGAACAAAAAGTTAATAAAAGTTTATTATTCTGCTGTTGTACTTAAGTTACAAATCTGTGAACTTCTTTGAGATCAATGTGTAACATTGAAGTTAGAAGTAGAAGCAGAAGTATTAATCACTTCTCCATAGAGCAGGGTTTCTCAACCTCAGTAGCTTTAAGATATACGGACTTCAACTCCCAGAATTCCCCAGCCAGCCATGATGTCTGCATGCATGCTGGCTGGGGAATTCTAGAGTTGAAGTCCACACATATTAAAATTGATAAGGTTGAGAAACCCTGCCATAGGGGAAGGTTACTGATAGCAAACACTGCTTTCCTTGTATTGCTTTGTTAGTTTCATCAAATAATGAAGTGAAATTGCCTAATGTGGAGACAGAAAACACATGCCTTCAAATGGGGAAATTAAAGAAAGAAATAGTTCTGTATTGCTGGGGTAAAAATAAATTAGTAAACATACTCAGGCTTGAAAGTTACAGAAAATGTACAGTCATATACAAAAATAACTCTTTAAGCACTTATCTAACAGCCAGATTTATAAGAAAAGTGCTTAAAGTACATACAATGGATACCACCAGTTATGCATTGTTGCTCACAAGGAATTTATTCCCTTGCTTTATTGTCTACATCAAGTATTTCTCAACCTTGGCAACTTGAAGACGTGTGGACTTCAACTCCCAGAATTCCCCAGCCCAGTTGCCAAGGTTGAGAAACACTGACTGATTCCTGATACTCGATTTGAGTATCTCCTGGAAAAAATGCTTTTCTTTCCTAGTCGAAAACCTCGCAACTTCGGTACTGGAAAACACAGCTTCTATCTATCCTGGATCATTTATCCAGAGGAAAGATGGTCTTGATCCCCACACAGTAACGTTTCCCCATTATTTGTGTGAACCCATTATTTCCCAGGAAAACCTAAGCAATTAACCACATGTCTGGGCTCCTCACTTATTCAGTGAGGAGGAAAAGGTTCTCTGCACATGTACAAAGACACACCCCTGGAAGGCTGGAATGTTAAAAATGTATCTGGCTAACTGCTGGTGCAAAGTCAGGTTTATACTCAGTACTTGAACAGCAATACAGCCTATTTCACTACAGCTACTGCACTTGGCCCAGAATAATGTCTGTTGCTCAGAGTAAAAGAACAAGTAGTACAGAGAGGCCTTGCCTGAGTACAAGGTTTGGTATTCAGGAACATGCTTCCCCTGACATGATGAAAAATATGATGAGGTATTATTAAATCAAAGACCAGCAATTATTGCCCATGCCACCAAAACAGATTTATTATTTAGTTCAGCAGTTCTGAACTAGGGGCCATATGGCTCCTTTGGGGCCCTAGGATATTTCAAGGGAGTCACAGGTGAAAAACATGTAACTGGGGGGCCATGGCATGTGCCAAGGGGACCACAGAAAAGCAAAATGTATTATGCTGCAAATACTATCTTTATTATAAATAGAAACATATATTCTATTTACACAGTGTGCAAGTGGCAATCCTTATCACTGGCAATGGGAACTGAACAGGGGGCCCTAGGAGAAAAACGTCAAAAAGGGGCCATGGGCGAAAAAAGGTCAAGAAACACTGATTTAGTCAATCAAGTGCAAAAGTATCAGTGGCTGCTAGACAAGAGGGCTTGGAGAGGAATTACCAAAATGTCTTTTCTTTCTAGACTTTGGGGAGAAACTTCCTGGGAAGGTCTTTGGTTTTCTACCCTGCTGTGGTTGCAATTGTTGCCTCACCACAGAGCTTGAGGGACTGTGCTCGGATCAACAGGTGCCCCTACATTTTATTTCGTGCTTCCAAAGAGCAGATTGTTGTTTATCGTATTTTACACCTGCAGTAGGGCGGCAGCCTCATTGATCCTAATAGTTTAGAGACAAGGAAAAAGGAAGCCTGGCAAATCTCCCAAGGCCTCAGGGCAACCTTGTGGCTCAGCTGGAATCTGAATCATGGTTTCGTTGCCCTTCACCCCACAGGGTGAATCCCTGACACTCCAGGGATTGATTGGACAGGCCTTGCGGGTCAAAGAGGCCAGACTTTCAAAGAAGGCGCCCTTTATCTACTCTAGCATATCAGCTGAATGCGCTGGGGGCTCTCCTGATGGCAGAGATTAGCAGAAAGCTGTGGGCAAGCAGTTTCCCAACCTTTGCAGTGCATTTCACGCACTGGGCAAAATTCGATTTCTCCAACCCACAAGACAGGCCTGCCCAGACACGCACTGAAGCCTGGAACCAAGCACTCAGAAGCTACAGCTAAGATTCCAGCTGTTAGAGCAATGTTTTGGAAGAGGAGACTCCAGGATCAGTCTCCCATGCTGCCAAATTCCCACCTCAGCTGGCCTCCCCTTGGCCTGCCCCGCTGGGACCCCACCTGTGTCCCTGGTTTTACCTGCTGGTTCACATCTTGCCAGATTTCTCTCCTGTCTCTGGCCACACACTCTGTCCTGCCTCTTCAGGTGTGGCCTGGCTCTTCCTTGTTGATTGTGTCAGGAGCCGCATCAACCCGCCTGGACTTGTGTGTTTGGTCTGAACCTGCCTCTGGTCCTCCTCCCCCACATTAAACTCTGTGAGGATCGGTGGGGAGGAAAATCTCAAAGCAATCGCTCCTCTTGACTTCCTCACGAGAAGAGATTGCAAGTTAAGAAAACAGCAGAAGCTTTGTGGAAAAACGCTCAGGCAAGACGCTCTCCCCTCAGTCCTTCCCTGTTGCAAGCATCCTGAGGCGCGGGGCCCGTGGGAGGATCGAAAGTAGCCATCCTGTCCGGAGCATCACTCTGGGCTCCGAGGGAAGCACTGATGTTAGTCCAGCGTGACAGAGTCAGAAAAACACTGCTGAGGGAAAAGAAACATCAAGGCACTCCGAGCTCACCACGCCCTGCTCTGGGCTGCCTGTTTCATTCAGGTCACATCCAGCCGACACAGGTGTTTACAGCCCCACAGATTTAGACCCCTTGCATTCAAGCCCAAGCCGGGCAACGGGTTTCTCCCACAAATACCTCAGCTAGTTCCCCTTCTTCCCTGTGCCTCTCGCAGTCATGAAGAGGTTGAGTGCCTGAGAAAGCACGCAGAGTGAGTTGGGTGTTCCCATCAGACTGCACTGGATGGAGGAAGGAAGCTTTCCTACTCAGAGGAAGTCTCCTCTAGGCAGCGGTGGGGCGGGGGGAGGCACTGTTTAGTGGGCAGTGACTCACACACGGAGATTGTCTGTCTGCATGTGCACGATTTCCATCCGCCTCAGTATTTCACCTTCCCTAACCTAGCCTGCCTCGAGTCACGGGATCCCAGCATGGAATGAACTGTACTGGGGTCATGCAGCTTTTCCACATCTAGATGACTATTTGCTTAGCCAGAAACGAAAGGAAGGCAACCGGCTGCCTCTCGTGCTTGTTATTGTTACAGGACAGTCCACCGGTGCTTTTGGAAAACAAGAGCATGTGCAGGGTGGATTTTTACACATGATGCAAAAAGCGGTCCTGTTCTGGTAGCAAAGGCTAGAGATTTTTCCACCCCCATTTTCTCAGCAGTGGCCAAGACAGTGGATGTGTGGAACGGGCTATGGCTGTACACTGGGAAGTTTTGTATTTATGTATTTCTTCAGTCTTTTCCCCCCCTTAACTGCTCCTCTTTGCTCCATGAACATGTAAAGCAATTTACATACAAAAAGAATGAATGTATACGACAGCCTTTCCCACCTTGGGCATCTAACCCAGCCTTCACAGTAATGGCCCTGCCGGCAGGGGAATGCTAGTTGACAGAAACCATGAAAAGTTAAAATCCAAACTCCCTGAAGGCAACATCTCTACTAAGTCTGTTGAAGACAGAGTGTTCCTGTATTAGATTAGGCTACCTTATCTGAGCTGCAGGAAGTTAAGTTCTGTATATCTCTTTGCAGCCATCTATTGGCTATTTAAATGTTTGCAACTGAGACGTTGTGGCCTACTCTAGCAGTCTTTGGAAGCATGCTGGGAAGGAGATATATAACACTGGAGGGTGGAATTTAAATTAAATAAATAGCATAAGAGAAACAAACTGAAGGCAGATTAAATGGAATTGTGAGGAATATGTCAGTTCCAGAATCACCTACAAAAATCAAGCTCAAACCATTTGATAATAAACAAGCAGCAGGATAAAAGCAATGCTGGAAACGATTCCATTTCAGGTGAAAGGAAGTTTCCCAACAAGGCTTTTATAGTACATTCAGCCTGCATTTTGTACTGTATATCCTCTGCTGTGTCTCATAGCATCAAACTGTAATGCTGGCTGTGAAATGTCTCCAGGGACGTTGCCTTGAAACGGTTGGGTGGAGAATGCAGTTTGTGCTCAGGTTTTTATTGGCAGCCATGTGAAGAGTCACAGAGGAAATCTTCGTTCTAGCCAGTTTATGGTGCTTTGCTTGCACCCTGGGAACAGGGCTGGCTCATCTCTGAAAGACTTGCTTGTTCTCTGCTTGTAGTACACTTGCAGCTAGGACTCTGTAGCCTTCTTCAACCTGGTAGCCTCCCGATATTACAGGTTCACTGATTCCCAGCCAGATGGATCTAATCTCCAGTTTCCAGTTTTAGCCTGCATACCATTTTCAGTACAGCAATAAAAAGTTCCAGCCCAGCCTTAAGAGGCATTTCCTCCAGTCTGCACCCACAAACTTCACTTCCTGTCTATATTTGTTTGGCAGGTGTTGTCATTAAAACCACATCATCTTGCCAGCTAACACAATGCTGTATGAAGCCAATATTAATAAATGCTTCTTTGTATTCCCCAAACTCTTCATATTATTTAATAGCAAAAATGTGGCATTTTCCAAATGCTTATTTGGGTATCTCTCTGTTAAAAGTAGACTTGCTGTCATGACAGTAACACGGAACTGCTAAAAGTGCAGTTGCCTTCAAACTGAGCTCAACTTCTAGTGCCGTCATGGATGCGCCCACATTGTTTTCAAGCAATGCCATGGAAGTGGTTTGTCACTGCCTGCTTTCTGAGCTTTTTTCTCCCAACTTCTCTGTCTAGTCTACAGTCCTGGTATTTTTAGCAGTCTCCCATGCAGGTCCAGCTCTGCTTAGCTTTTCAAACCAGCTGAAGTCAGCTAGATACTGCCACTTTAACAGACAAATTATCTTTGCTGTCCCTGAAATTTGCTGTCACTTCCCAGGGACATTATCTAGCATGCAATATTTCTCAGATTTTAGCTTTTATCACAAAGTCTAATTTTTTCCCCTGTGTGTTCCATAATTTCACAGGCTACTTTGGAGACTTCTTCCTAACTAGGTAATATTGAGTCTTATCCACATATACAAGGATCACCCTCCCCCCTGCAGTGTTTCTCAGTCTCAGCAACTTTAAGATGTGTGGACTTCAACTCCCAGAATTCCCCAGCCAGCATGCTTGGAGGTCCACACGTCTTAAAGTTGCTAACTGTAACCTAAGGGAAACACTGACCTATGCAATGGGTCTATTTGATTGCCTGTCCCAATTAACTCTCTGATGCAATTTCAGTTTAAAAACTGAAGTTGTAAGCAGATCAACCACTTTTGCAGATAGAGCAGGGTGGGCAAGCTTTTGTGAGGCAAGGGCCACTTTGCTGTTGAGTGGCAATCTAGGGGATGAAAGAGATGTGGCAGGAAAAGAATTGTGGGCAAGTATTGATGGGAATAAGTGAACAATCAAACCCCTTGCCCCAAACATACATCCCCTTTATTGAAACAAAACAAAATAGCAGAATGTTGTTCCTGTTTTGCCTGCCACTAGTGATAAAATGACATCCAAATAGTTTTTTCCTGACAGCAGATAAATTCACACATTCAGGTTTTGCAAACTTTTATTAACCAACCACTCAGTCACATAAATATTGCACAGATGTCATGTAGAATGCATTCAAAGATACCCTTCTTGTGAGTTATGGCATCAGTACATAATGACCAAAATAAGTGGCCAAAACTCACCAGCCAGCAAAAACCTTTTGGTGGGAAAAAAAGGAACAAGAGCCAAATAACAAGAGAGTCATTATTAGAGCAGTTTCTCACCAATGAATTTGGGGCGTGTGATGTGCAGCCTGTGGATTACCTAATACAAGCAGTCCCCAGTTTAAGAACAAGTTCCATTCCCAAAGTCTGTCCTTAAGTCAAATTTGTATGTAAGCCGGAACAGTATTACTGTATAATACTGTATAAGTCGTATTGTGTAATGAACTCGAACCATTGTGCATTTAACTTGAATCATTGTGTATTTAACTCGAATTTTGCTACAATAGACTCCATTCTTAACTATGGGTTGTCTGTGAACTGGGCATTCTTAACCCAGGGACAACCTGCACTGCTTTAGAAAAACTGATTCTTTTTACTGTTTTGGGATATAATTTAATTATTGGTGCAGATTGGCAACATATACTAATCAATTTTGACATCCATACTCCATTTGGGAGTCCTTTTCATAGAAAGTCAACTAAAATATTGATATAAAATAATTGACTGCTCAATTCTCAATGTATCTTCCTCTCTCTTTCCTGGAAGAACTGGAAAATTTGTCCCAACAATTAACTCTGCAATACAACAGTAAAAGCAACTTTGGAACTAAATTTAAACACATGATCTAACTACGGGAGTGGAACAAGTAACTTGAGTGTCTTGTACATAGGAACATCTGTGGAAAAGTATCTTTTTCTCTGCTGTTTCCTTTGACTCAAAATTAAAGTTAATACAGTAAATTGATTATTTTGTGTCTTAAGGATCCTATTTTGAGAAAATTGTACTCCAAGAACAAGATGTTGATAGTGCAACACTGAACTGGAACCCCGACTTGTATCATGTGGTCATGTATCAGATGGCATTCCCTGTTTCTTGACTGAAGTTATGTAATTAGCTTTGCTTTATGGAAAAAGGGAAGTTTATAGAAATACATATCTTTTTAAATTACATTGCATCTTTTAAAATTACATGGGTGATCACGGGGGAAAGAGCAGAAATTTTGTTATGTCCATGATGATGCCATCATGCAAATGCTGAAAATGATGTACTTGTGTCAGATGTTCTGATGCAAGTACATAATCACAGCTTTTGAGTCATTACATCGTGACTTCATTTTCATTTCATCACAGGTTGCTACTTTTGTTGCCTTTAGAGACCCGTTGGAATGGGCATGGCCAATGTTTTCAGGCTTTGTTAAGGCTTTAAGTACATTTCTCATCACAAATAACCCATCAATTCTTCCAGATTCACAGATTTTAAGAGGCAAAATATGTGCCTTATACCTCTGGAAATCTTTGTCCATCTGTTTTACTACAATCCCCCTCTAAGAGAATGCATTCCCTGCTGGGAATGAACACCACCATCTGCCTGGGGCTCTGAGCACGTGCAGGGACCTGTTTTCTTGGTCATGCTAGTGATTATGGGGTATATTTCTCAGCTGCTATGTATTTTAATTTTTGCATTGTTGTAATTGTTTTTATTTGAATTTTGTTTACCACCCAGAGTCAATGTTGAGATGGGCAGCTATACAAAATGAATGAATGAATGAATGAATGAATGAATGAATGAATGAAGGCTCCTCCCAGTTACAGGCTTCAACTTTTCCTCCTCAGTGTTATTAAGATATTCTGTGGAACATCTTCCTGAATACACCATGTTATTTATCTCTCTGTGAACATAAACCTACAAGAAGTCAACAGTCAGTATGCAAATAAGCTGTTGTGCAGAAGTAACAGACTCATAAAAGAAATCAGTTATTTATTAAATAAAGTTAATTATCTGCATAGGAGAATTAAAGAAAAGAATTAAAAATCACATTTGGAATACACGGACTTAGCATTAAAAAAAAGGAACAGAAGAATGGTAGCTTATTTATAAGAAGGTCACTTTGCTTGAGGAGGACACCCAGGATGGAATGCATTTCTAAAGAATGCAGCAGCCATTTTGGCACAGGACATTTCAATAGTAGTCTGTAAAGTGCAGAAGGCACGAGAATTCTGCTGCAAAGTGCATCAGTTAAAAACAAAACAAAACTCCCTTTCTCTGGCAATGTAAATCAAGATGCATCCACTACAATTCGGTCTCCTTGGGAGTCCTTGCTACACATCTCTTTAATATATCCAGTATTCACCAAATTTAAGGACAAGGATGAATTTGCTGGGAAGGCAAGAGTGAATGAAGATTAATGGCAGCAATAGGTCAGTTCAAGGAAGCATCTCTGTGGGTTCCTTCCCCAGAGCTGACGGCGAGGTTGTACTGGTTGCTGTAGGGCTACAACCCAGATGGAAGAAAGTCTGTGGCTGGCAGTGCCCTTCCACTGCTCCTAAGCGTCTGCCCATTAAGCCCTTTTCCCAATTGCCTTCTGGAGTACCCCAAAATCTTATCCAACTCCAGACTCTTATCCAGAGGACTGATACAGCTGAGACCATTTCTAAAGGGATTCTTGCAGTTGCTGGTGGTATTTCTGCCGGCGGACACAACGAGGACAGAAACTGGTATTTGCCTGGCAACCACTGTGGAAGACGGTCTTGCACTCACTACACCTGTAAGAGAAATAGGCAGATCAATTCTAGAAGCAAGTCATCATCTGTGAGCAGTAAGCTACTTGAGAAGGTCACATTAGTGCTCAATAGCCAAGTTGGAGTTGTAGTCCAATACAGCTGGAAGGCATTAGATATTCTCATCCAGCGCTGTTGGCTCCAAGGGCCAGCCTCCCTCTTGGAATATCTTTGTATGTCAAGCATGAAATATAGCAACTGGAACTACAAGTAAAGTGGTTGTGTCCCTGCTGCCAGTCCTCCTCAATGGGACTCTTGGAAACAACTTTCCATTCACAGATTCCAATTCTCTACCAGGACAAAAAAGGCTGAAGAACTGTGCTTTTCTCCCTAGGTACTCAGAGATCATTCCTCAGGAGAGGGCAGAGAGCTGTATGTACAACATACATTGCACATACTGGTCCCAGATTCTGTCCCAGCCATCATCAGTTCCAAAGGAACCAGAGAGCAGATAATTGGAAAGAGGCCCTAAGGAGCAGGTCAAAGCAGAAAAGGCAGGGTCTAGGATTGTAGACAGCCTGCCAAAGCCTTGGGTATGATGCTGAGGCCTCCAAAGTTATCAAATTGCATTTTTTAACATGGCATAAGGGGAAAGATATTAAGTAGGTAACTGGAGATTCACTACATTAGTTAGAATTCATTTTAATTACATTAGACATGGAAATAAAACGTGATGGCATTTAATTTTGGTTATTTTTGGGAGCACAGAAAGTTGCACCCTCCTGGTTTGGATTAGGTCAGTGTTTTTCAAACTTGGCAACTTTAATATGTGTGGACTTCAATTCCTAGAACTCCCCGGCCAAAATGCTGGGAGTTGAAGTCCACACACCTTAAAGTTGCCAAGTTTGAAAAGCAGTGGATTAGGTGGTTAAGTAATTTCACTAGCTATAAGGCAACTTTTAAAGCTAGTTTACAGACAGAGGGTTAGAAGTTAGGTTGTTCTACATCTGTCTCTTTCTTCATGTTTAGACTTATATAGGCTTGCATGTTGCTTTAGCTTTTTTGCCTCTGGGACTTCTTCCTCTGCCTGACAGCTAAGAAGGGGTTTTGAGATTACTTCCTGGGTTGAAGCTTCTGTTTATTAAGGCAACAGATCATCACTGCCTGTCATTCCAGAGGCTACACCTCAAATGATGGTGAATACTCTTGCTTGACTTTGCTGGCCACTGTATGTGGGTGTCTCGGTGGCTGGCTAGGTGTGCACAAGCAAATGATCCCTGGCTGCCACCTGGGCAGGATGATGATTCAGGAAGTGCCTGCCGCTGCTGCTGCCAGAATCAGAAAACTCCCTAGAGCTACTGTCAGGAGACTTCCAGGCACATCCTGTTTCACAGGGTAAATTGCCTGACTCAGGCAGCAGGAAGTCAGTTCGTCTGAGCTTGGAGGCACTCTTCCTGCTCTGATACACAGCAAAAAGGAAACGTTGGCAATGTTTGTGATAGGCATGTGTGTGGTTGCATTGCTATAGCTTTGGGGGATGAACAATTATATGTAAAGGCTACAAAGGCAGAGCCGGTGACTGAAATCTTTTTAGGATCCTGTCTCATAGAAGGCGGATCTCTATGGCACTGTGATGTGCCTTTCTCAGCCTTCTTCTGATTGCCTTCCCCAACTTGGACACCCTCTGGATGTGCTATGTTACTGCTTACATAATCTTAAGCTAGTGGGCCAAAGTCTTGCCAAGCTGGAAAAGGATGTCCTACAGTCACAGACCTGGAAAAAACACGGTGGACTAAGGCTACTCTATGACTCCTAACTTTTCATATTTCCTCAATAATCTCTCTGTCAAAGGGCCTGGCCCCCACTAGAACAAAGAAACCTTTTCTAAGAAGGACATTTATATATTTACAAGCATTCTGTTACTTATCATTATGGTAAGTTTCAAGGACTTCATTAAAATTTCAATTAATTATCCTGGGTCCTACCTAGACTAGATCTGACTGTGCTACATAAATGAATGAAAGGATGGATGGATGGATTTATTTATTTAAAGAATTTATATGGCTGCCCACCTCGGACAATGCAACTCTGTGAGGCTTACAAAAAAAAAAAAAAAAAACTCAACTAAAATAAAACCACAATGAACAGCAATAATTGGTAGTATGCAACCTGGCTCACATTTGTACCCTCTTCCGATGGGAACATACACACCCTGGCCCAATGAAATGACCATGTTTTTAAAGTCTTCCTAAAGGCCATCAGGATTAGGGCCAACTGAACATCCTGTGAGGCAGGGGGTTGGGGGAGAGATCATACCAAAGGCCAGGCACTGCTACTAAGAAGGCATGCCATCTAGGCCCCATCAGATGGCACAGCTTCAAAGAGGGGTCCCAATGTGTGCCTACCCTATTAGAACAAGTGGAACAGGCAGCTCTCCTTAGGGAGATGCAGTGCCACAGATAACCCAGTCCTGTGCAAACCCTAGGATTGAAAGCCACCTCCTTATGTTCTATCATGGTGAGCTCCAAGATATGGTGAATATACAGTTGTGTGAAAAAGAAAGTACACCCTCTTTGAGTTCTGCATATCAGGTTTTACGTATCAGGACATAATAAAAATCATCTGGTCCTTAGCAATTCTAAGAGTAGGTAAATACA